AAAAAAGTTAAGGGTTTGGTGTCAGTGGCAAAGTGTTATCTTTGCATGGCCCTGGGTTTGATCCTCAGCAAAAGAGTTGGGAAGATGGGGAAAGTTTAGAAATTTAAATATAATTTGCAAAGAGAAAAAGCAAGGCGAGCCCAAACCTTAGTTAGCAAGCTATGTGCTTAGAAAAGTATTTATTAGCCTGAAGATGTGGTCTCCTATAGAGCCCAGCCTGTCCTCAGCCTCAATGTTCTTAGCTTTTCACGAATTGGGATTTCTGGCTTGTGCCACCATACCTTTCAAGTATTTTTTTCAGGCCTGGGGATAGAACCCAGGGCCTCACACACACTGTGAAAGCACTGTACCTCTGAGCTGTATCTCCAACCCCTTTTAATCTTTCTCTTTTAGCTATGGTATTGCTAAGTTGCCTAAACTCCCTCCATAGATGAAGCAGGTCTGCAATATGTGATCCTCCTGCACTAGCCTCTAGGAGCTGGGATTTATTCACAGGAAATTTATAACATCAAGGGCTAGACAGTTCCATCAAGGGCAAAGTATATTAAATGATGGACAGACATGTATCATGTCTTTGTTTAAAGTTAGGATCTAAAATGGCCTGAAAGGCACAGAGTGCCTATGGTCATGGCAGCCCAAATGGCAGTGCTTTCTCCTCTCATTGCTCAGGTTTCCTTTGCCTTTCTCTCCTTCATTTTAGAAGTGCTCTTAAGTATGAAGAAGGGAAACGCCTAAAGTTAGAGCCTATTCCATTTCTTTTGTAATGATCTGTTTTCCTCAAAGATTTAAGCAGCATTTACCAGTATGAATAAGATTAATTATTATAATATAAACCAATTTGAAAATTGGTTTTTAAATTGAGCCATAATATGTAAAATCTTATGGTAATGTGCAAATCTGACTATATTCAAGTACAGTTTTCATACCCATACCAATTGTGTTGTAATAATCAAGAATGCATCCTCTGTGTGGTGTTTGGAAGTTAATACTATTCTAGAAATCACACTGGTATACATAGTGGCTTCCCTGGGTGTATGTGGCTCATTATTGATCATAATTTTATTTTGAAATTTCAGTTTAAGGAGATAGGGTAAGCCCCATTCAGATTTTTAGTAGTTAGAGGAGTTTTGATGGAGGATTGGGAGAGAATGAAGAGGACTATTAGGATGAACAACATTGAAAGAAGCTCGGATAATTCATCAGGTGATAGTAAAAAATAGCACAGATTTGTATGGAAACAGAAGAGACAAATAATTCCTAGGAGGAATGCCTTCAAAACATAACCATGAAGCTCTCACAGTTCCAAATAAATATATGCATTGTAATGAGAAAGAAGAGTCCTAGGGTTTTGGTTGAGTTGTAGACCCCGTGGTACCCACTGTTCATGCCGAGGGCTATGTGAGCGCTGCCTCTCCTGACAGCTGCTCCAGGCTTCCTGTTTCCCTCCATTGTCTCCTTTTCTGCATGCATTCTTTCTTTATACACTGTAACCTCTTCTACCTCTCACATGTATTTCAAATTGAAATCCTTCTTCAGAATGACGCTCCTTTTTTACCCATCAGCTTTAACCAAACACTTAATAAATGTACCCTGCCTCTGAGGAATAACACAACAGTTACTAAGTCTTGGCAAGTTTCTTTATATTAAGAATCTTTAATGCATAGGGATTTAATGCTGGTGGAATGTTGTTAGACTATAAGTTCTGTGAAGAAAAAAAAAGGTTTTTGTTTTGTTTTGGGGTTTTTTGTTTGTTTGTTTGTTTGATGCCAGTTTGCTAATAACTGGCTATCATGGTATTCACTGTGGAAACTCAGAGGCAATCATCCTGCCTCAGCCTCTCAAATTCTGGGATTATTGTTGTAAGCCACCATGCCCAGCTAAGAAAGGAAGTTTTTTTTTTTTTTTTTTTTTTTTAAAGGCTAGGAATATATCTTGGTGGTAGAGTGCTTGTCTAGCATGCATAAAGATCTGCCGTCATCGCAGGTGGTACCAAACGGGGAGGGACTTTCTCTTTGTCCATTGTTGTATCTGGTGTCCAGAATACCGAATAACTTATTAAAACATTAGCCTTAAGAGAAATTTAATGTAATTTATGAAAATTATTTCAGTGGAGCATTCTTTTTTTGTGTGTTTTTTGAAACAGGATCTCACTATGTAGCCTTGGCTCACCTGGAGCTCAGTACATGAGACAGGCTGGCTGGGAGGAAAGGTGTGAGCCACTACTCCTGGCTTCAGTGAAGCATACTTTTTTCCAATTAGAATTTTCTTTGAGATTTTATTTTGTGTATATGGATGTTTTGCCTGCATGCATGTCTGTGTACCATGTGCGTGCAGTGCCTATGGAGGCCAGAAGAGGGCATCATTATGGGACTGGAGTTGCAGTCATGTGGGTTCTTGGGATTCAATTCCAGGCTTCTGGAGGATGCTCTTAACAGCTGAGCCATCTCTCCTGCCCCAGGAAAGCATTCTTGGTTCCTCAATGCAGGGCAGGGCAGGGCAGGGATTCTCCTAACTGTCCCCATTGTTCTCTTCTCCCAGTAGGAGTATTTCAAGTGCCAGAATCAGCTGGACAGGACTGAAATTAGTAAATGTAGTGCCAAAGAGACACAGACCTAAACGGCAGAAGTAAAGAGCATGGGAATTACAAATTTAAATATGTTAGGGCTCACATAAGCATTTGAGTAGAATATCAAAGTAGTTAAATAGCTAAAGTTCCAGAGCCAGCTAAACGGTAGAGAAGGCGATTTGATAAAGGCAGTAAGAGCAAATCAGTTTGGTAGCATGCTAGATTTCAGATAGCCAATCCAGAGAGCCGTTATGACTTGGATAACATACCAGTGAAGACAACTGTCCATTTAGTTGCTGTTTGTAAAATGGGCTGTAGTAAGGTGAAGAAACTCTGGAGTAGAGTAGAATTCAGGATGATGTCACTGTGACTTATGTTTTCTGGTGATGTCATAGCAGACACCCTTTGAAGTCCTCCATCCTCTCTTTATGATATAGGGATGATGAGTTCTAGGAAGCAGTAGGTATGGATTCTAGGCCCTACTTTCTGTGCTATTTTCTAAATTTGTTAGCATGAATTGACAAGTGCTTAACTGTAAAATGAGGGAAATGGCATGTTAAAAGGAGTCTAGATTCGATAATTTTTGGAGCTTAGCAATTGTTATTCTTTTTTGAGTTACAGACAGTATGAGTAGGGAATACTGTGTCTTTCATCCCATTGCTAATCTCTGCTAATTATTTAAAGAAGTAAAAACCAGAACATTATCTCACATTCTGTAAAAATTTTTCTTGTGAATAAATGACTTACCTATCTTAAAATATTTATCCATTAAGTATGGTTGGCTGCTTAGTGTTTTAGCTATTATTATTATTGTTATTACTACTATTACTATTATTATTATTATTATTATTACTGTTTTGGTTTTTCGAGACAGGGTTTCTTTGTGTAGCCTTTGCTGTCCTGGAACTCCCTGTAGACCAGGGTGGCCTTGAACTCACAAAGATCCACCTGCCTCTGCCTCCCCAGGGCTGGGATTAAAGGCGTGCGCCACCACTGCCCAGCGATTTTAGCTATTTTTAAACTATCATAGTGCTCAAGCAAATGGACAAACTTCATCCTGAGGTTCTTTTCATTCTGCCATATGCAGTCTATTCTGAAACTAAGCAGAGCTCAGGGAGATGGTTTAGTCGGTAAAGTGCTTGCAAGCATGAGGGCCTGCGTTCCATCTCTAGCCGCCATGCTAAAAAACAAACAAGCAAACAACCTGAGCGTGTGATGTGCTCTTGTAAGGCAGAGACAGGAGGATCCCTGTCATTTGCTGGTCAGCCAGTTCCAGAGATCTGGTGTATTGCACCTGAGGAACAATACCTGAGGTTGACCCCTGACCTCTGTAACACATCTATACACACACACACACACACACACACACACACACACACACATAAGGAACAATACCTGAGGTTGACCCCTGACCTCTGTACACACATGCATACACACACACACACACACACACACACACGTGCACACATACGTGCAACTTCCCCCTGCCTCAAAGCACAACAATACCAACAGTGTTTAGTGCCATTAGAACTGGTACTTTGTTGCCTCCTGAATACACTCTATTCTCTCCTGTAATTTCCTTGCTGAAGGTTTTTGTACTGCTGCATTCAGAGTCCCTACTCTTCTTCCCCTGATGTTTTGTTTCTATTTGGACTGTTTCTTGCCCCACCTCCTTTAATCCATCTGGAAAGATGAAGAGGCAGCTGCTATGGTTAACTGTGCGTCTTGGCTAATGAATAACAGACTAACAGGATACATAAAGCATATGCAAACTATGCAGAGTTGGTTGCTGTCAGGGCCCTAGGGATACAATGCTTTTTTCTTTTCTTTAAAAAAGAAAGAAAGAAAGAAAGAAAATTCTCATGTGATATTTTGTTTTCTAATTTACCATTCTTAATATTGTAATGCTACCACAAATTTTTTTTTCTGCTTAGTCTGTATAATATTTCATCTTATGCCAAATTTATAGAAGATGGTTAAGGTCCAAAGAGGAAATGAATTGGTCAGTTATATTTAATAAGTTTGTTTCGTAGTTCAGGTGTATTCATAGAATAGTAGGGACAAATTTTATGCAACACTTGGTTTTTGGACCTCTAACTTTTTTTTTCTCTTTCTTGCCTTTTGGCTACTAGTGCCTTTTGAGTTTCTCTGAGGTTAGAACCACCGTTTTCTATGTTTCTTGAAAATGTTTCTATCGTAGCTGGGCGTGGTGGCATTTGGGAGGCAGAGGCAGCCAGAGTGCAGCCTGGTCTACATAGCAAGCTCCAGGCCAGCTAAGGCTACATAGTGAGACTGTGTTTCACTCCCTCCCTAGTGTTTCTATCATAAAGGCAAGCTACAGCTTGAATATTGCATTCAGCCAACCCTTGAAAATTCCTGTAATCTGCCATCCTGTCTCATACTGTCCCATCTCATAGTTGTCCTCTCTCTGCAGTGCTCTATGCCCAGGTCTCTGTGGCTGGGCTGCTCCAGCCTGGCGGACAGCATGCCTTCGCTGCGATGCCTGTATAACCCAGGGACTGGCGCACTCACAGCTTTCCAGGTACTTTCTCTGTCTCTGTGGGTTATTGGTGGGGTGTGTGTGTCTAATTCGTTAGAATATCCTTCCTTCCTGCCTTCCTTCCTGCCTTCCTTCCTACCTTCCTTCCTTCCTGCCTGCCTGCCTGCCTTCCTTCCTTCCTTCCTGCCTTCCTGCCTTCCTGCCTTCCTTCCTTCCTTCCTTCCTTCTTTCCTTCCTACCTAAAATCCTGCCTGCCTGCCTGCCTTCCTTCCTTCCTTCCTGCCTTCCTGCCTTCCTGCCTTCCTTCCTTCCTTCCTTCCTTCCTTCCTCCCTTCCTTCCTGCCTGCCTGCCTGCCTGCCTGCCTTCCTTCCTTCCTTCCTGCCTTCCTTTATAGAGCCTGTATTTCACATCACTCAGTATTTCTTTAATGACTAACATTTAATGTAGACCCAGACTTAATCCATTTTAAAAACATCTTTATCACAATTGGTTTGTCAAAATGGACATAGTACAACTTGATGTTGGGTTTCAGATCTTGTAGAAGTATGATACTAATGTTTAAAATAATCTAAATAACAGTTCTGATTGTACTTTTACTCTGGACCTTCATAAGTTCAAATCATGTAATTAGGTGATTGAAATTAGATACAAAAATATTTGTTTATGATGACTATGTTCAGAATGCTTGGGTTACTATGTTACTATCCATGTGTATTTAATTTATCACAACTATTTGTTACTTGTATCTTAAAGATGGTTTCTAGTTGGAGTGGGAAAGCTGTAGATACATTGTTCATTTTGAGACAGTCCAGTTGGTCTTACATGATTGATGGGCTATAGCTCTTCTCAGTCTTTCTTAGAGGCCAAGAGGCCAGTTCCATGATGTAAGAGAAGATACAGAAGAAGAAGAGAATGGAACATTGGAGAGGAAAATGAAAGAACTTGGTGCTCAGAGCTTACGGATTAGGGTACCATGGATGGTTGTTTTCTTGGTAGAAGTGTTGGCTATCCGCTTCAGGTATCTGGAATTTGTGTTTAGCATTTTATAATAATATAAAAAATGGTCTTTTTCCTTTTGTGTGTATTTTAGTTTTGTTTATATGTATGTGTGTGCAGGCACCCAAGGAGGCCAGAAGCGGGTGTCAGATTCCCTGGAGCTGTTGTGTATAGGCAATTGTGAGCCACCAGACATGGGTTCTAGGACCCGAACGCAGGTCCTCTGGAAAGAGCGTTGAGTGCTCCATCTCCCCAAATTTCTGTTTTTAATTTGTGTGTTTGTGAGTGTGTGACAGGACTAGGTTCTGTGGATCAGGCTGGCCTCAAAGCTGGAGTTAGAGGAGTGAGCCACATGTCCAGCTATTTATTTACCTAGTTGTTTTTAACTCGCGCAGTTCACTATCTGTTCAGAGGAAATTCACAGACAAGCTGTAACTAAACTCGAAAGTACCCATGGTTAAGTCATAAGGAAGGGAAGTCAGTGCTGACAGGTACTGGTCTTCAGCAATATTATTTTAGCAGTGATCATGCTGGAGACTTTAATTTTCTTTGTATAGCTTAATGTTAATCTTCCTTTGCTTATATTCTAAAATAGTAAAGCATGTTGACTCTAAAAATAGGTAAATCTTTTTAAACAACATTGTCACTGTTTTAGTTAGGGTTTTTAATTGCTGTAAAGAGACACCATGACCACAGCAATTTTTTATAAGATTTATTTATTATGTATATAGTATTCTGTCTGTATGTTTGCCTGCACACCAGAAGAGGGTATCAGATCCAATTATAGATGGTTGTGAGCCACCATGTGATTTCTAGGAATTGAACTCAGGACTTCTGGGAAAGTAGTCAATGCTATTAACCTCTGAGCTGTCTCTCCAGCCCTGACCACAGCAATTCTTACAAAGGAAAACATTTAATTAGGGCTGGCATATAGTTCAGAGGTTTTGTCTATTTTTGTTGTGATTGGAAGCATGGTGACACACAGGCAGACCTGGTACTGAAGAGATACCTGAGAGTTTAAAGTCTGGCTTAGCAGAGAATTAGGGGTGAAGAGGGGATGGGGGGAGGGAGGCAGACAGAGAGACAGACACACAGACAGACAGACAGACAGACAGACAGACAGACAGACACACACACACACACACACACACACACACACACACTCTGAGCATTTGCAACCTCAAAGCCCACCTTTAGTAACACACTTAACTTCCTCCAGCAAGGCCACACCTCCTGATAGTGCCACTGCCTGTGGGCTTGGGGGATCATTTTCATTCAGACCACCACAATCACTCACTAGTCGTATGATCTTGAACAAAGTATTTTACTCTGATGCTCTTTTTCCAAATTTGTTAAGTGGTGACTATAGACATGGGTGGATACATGGTAATAGTTGTTGCTTTTATCATCATCATCATCATCATAAAAATTATTGCTCTGTCAGAGAGTTTATATGACAATCTGAGAGTGTCAATTCATCTCAGAGTGAATTGTCTAAGTTTGTTTTGTTGTTGTTTTTTAACTATATCCTGATGAAGAAGGCATTGACCTTAAGAACTCAGAGTCTAACCTATTGCTAATTTTGAGTTTTCTGGTTTTGTTATGTTATTGTTTTGTTTGAGACAGAATATTGCTTTATAACCCAGGCTGGCCTGGAACCCTAGTGCATCCTGCCTCAGCCTTCTGAACCCTGGAATTACAGGTGTGTATCACCAAGCCTCGATAGCCTATTGGTTTTTAGTCGGTTGCATTGAGTTTAACTAGCCTGTAAAGTCTGAAGGAATATGCTCTTCAAGATTGACCTTACTTTAGGTGCATTTAGGGGCTCCACAGTCCCTCTCTGGTCTGATAATTTGTTTGAAAGTATTTAAAGAATTTACTAAAAGCAGTAAAACACTTTATTAACAGGAAAAGGATACAGGTTAAACTTGTCCAAAGGAGACATCCAAGGGCCAGAGAGATGGCTCAGTGGGTAAGGATTAGTGACCTGAATTCAATCCTTGGATCCCACCAGGTAGCAGGAGAAAACTTACTCCCCCAGTCCTCGGATGTACACACCTCTCCCTCTCCCTCTCCCTCTCTCTCTCTCTCTCTCTCTCTCTCTCTCTCTCTCACACACACACACACACACACACACACACACACAAATAATTTATTTCATTTTATGTCTGTGTACCACATGCATGCAGTGCTTACAGAGGCCAGAAGAGAGTGCTGACTCCCCTTTGACAGGAGTTACAGATAGTTGTGAGAGTGCTAGGAATGAAACCCATTGCTTTTAACCACTGAGCCATCTTTCTAGCCCTAAATAAATAATTTTAAAGAAGTACTTAATTGAAACAAAACAAACAAAAACCCAAAAACCCAGAAGACACACATAGAAATCTTTTTTCTTTTCTTTTTTTTTCTTTCTTTTTTGAGACAGGGTTTCTCTGTGTAACAGCCTTGGCTATCCTAGAATGCTTTGTAGACCAGGCTGACCTCGAACCCACAGGGATCTGCTTGCCTTTGCCTCTCAGAGTGCTGGGATTAAAGGTGTGCACCACCACAGCCTGGTGAAATGTAGAATTTTTTTTTTTTTTTTTGGTTTTCACATTTTTATTGGGGGCAACAGGGAAGTATCCCATCATCAGGAGTATTCACAGGTTCTTCAGCCATTCCAGGCTTGGACCCTGAGGGTCCTAGAGGTGGCTGGGCACATCGGGCATGTTCCCATTATCTTGAACAGGCACTGGGTAGTTGTAGGGTGTGGCCCTGTTGATCATGCCGGCATACTTGGTATGGGGGCTGATTATGGGCATAATTATAGAGAGGCCCCAGACTGAGAAAGACACCACCAGCACCTGCTCCTTCGCCCAGGCATCCTTGAAGGCAGTGAGTCTTGGAGGAAAATGTAGAATTTTTAATCACCTCTTTCCATGGAACCATGGATAGTATCATAGCCTCCCAGCCACAGTATATAGTAATATATACCAACCTCCAAAGTCATATTTATTAAGACTTACTTGCTTACTGCCCACATGGCTGGCTTTTAGTCTCCAGTCCATCCCTGTAGGCCACACTGAAGCCTGTCTCCTCTGGTGTTGAAACTGATTACAGTGTGGCTTCAAGCTCTCAATGTAGACTATATTTTCAGTATCTAAAGTTGCCAGGCAAGCAGAGACCCTTCTATTAGCAAGAAGTCAAGAAACCTAGAGACCACCTCTTGGTAACCAAGGGCAAAGCCCAGATTTCTTTGTGAATAAGATTAATTTTTCATACATAGGTGTCATAATTTGTTTTGGGAATTCGATGAGACCTATTTATCCTTGTGTATATAGAAGCCAAATTTTATATAATAGTTTTATATATGTATATATATGTGATTTTTTTAATGTTTGTATTGTGAAATGAGCAAGAGAGCTATGAAACCACATAATCCCAAAGGCAAGAATCTCTCCAGACTGATTCTATAAAGAATATGTATAGAGTCATAGGACTGTTGAGAAGAGGGACCTGACTAGAGTTTGTGATGAGAGCTTCTGCTGGGTGTGCACAGGGCCCTGTACTCTGTCTCTAGCACCATAGATAACACAGAGTAATCTTGGTCTAGTTTCAGAGTCGGAGTAAGAAGAATCAGATAACCTTGGCTGTCCTGAAACTTGCTCTGTAAACCAGGTTGGCCTCAAACTCACAGAGATCCACTTGAGTGCTGAGATTAAAGGTGTGTGCCACCACTGCCCAGACAGGTCATTTTAATGAACTGTATTTAAAACATTAATACTGGCATTGTTTCATTTTGATAATCTAGTGTCTGAAGTAATTAAAGGCAGATGAATTTTCATATTCACTTCTGAATTCATTATTATGCTTTGTTTAAATCATGGGAAGACTGGCCTATACAGATATAAAGTTTAAAAGAAAGGTGCCATGGTAAGGTGGTGGTGGCACACACCTTTAATCCCAGCACTTGGGAGAAAAGAGGTAGTCAGATCTCAGTGAGTTCAAAGCCAACCTGGTCTATAGAGCTTAGATCCAGGACAGATAGGGCTGTTACACAAAGAAA